CACTTTGCAGTTATTTATTGTATTGATTTTCGTTCCACTTCTCACGTGTACACCACTTTGTATTGGTCTTTCACGTGGAATTCCAATAAAATTGATTCATGTTTGTGGCTGTAATGTGACAAAATGTGGAAAAGTTCAAAGGGGCCGAATACTTTTGCAAGCCACTGTATGTGACACTGGTACATGTATTCTGTTACTCCCCGACACTGTACAGCACTGGCATTAGTGCAGGAAAGTTATTCCACCTCAGTTCACAAAAGAAATTTAATGAATTTATTTAGAGCCCAACATGTCTGAGCTAGAGAAATGTGAAATTCAGCAGTTACTCAGAATATTCTGAGATGTAGTTGTGTTGCTTTAATTGCTTGACTTCACGTCTGGTTATGGATTTGTCCACAACCATACTTAAGATTGTAGGACACTGTGGCAGTGAAGGACCTGACGACAGCAGCATCGCAGCTTTAAACATCTTTCATTGTCTAGTTTTCCAGAGTGCAGCTTTCCAGCTGCTCTGCTTCTGTAGCACACACAACCCCCTTCTCAGGTCCCGACAACATCTTAAACAGGGGAGACATGATTATATGATGGGGTTAGGTGTGTGAGACAGCCTCCAATGACACTATACCCTGAACCCACCCACCCTGCAGCTAGCCACAAACCAGAAACCGCCACAGGCACCAATAAAGCTTATGGAAAAGTTATTACTGTCACGGCTGACACAACACAACCAGTGTCCTGTACACGCACCACAGAGTCCAATTTGCTCACTGTGATGTTTTTCACTGCCCGTCTGTGGTCAGCAGTCCCAACTGAAGCCACAGGAGTGAGTTGAGGAGTTGTGTGATGATGACGGTGGGGGCACCATCTTTTCCGGGATGAAGTGTCGGGTGGTGTAGCAGTGACCAGCGACGAGGAAACTGCCCGTTGGTGCTGGGAATACCAAGTGGCAAGAGTCTTTAGGAAGGCCACAGAATCCTCTTTGCCTGGGCCATCCATGCCAAACAGTTCAAACTTGAAGGTCGCTCTTAAATCCTTAATAATGCGAACCAGCTCCCTGACATCCAGGAAGTTCTGAGGAAAAACAGTGGAAGACAGGAAGGCATCCAAGAAGACGACTTGAATGGGTTTCTTTGGAGTGTCCGAGGCGTGGATGACTGCCCGGCAGTAATCCCATAGCTGTGTGAGCAATTTTATCCTCTGTGAAAGAGCCTGAGTCTGCTGGGTCCAGACTCAGGTTGGTTTGTATTGTCACGGCTGCCGGGTGGTGTTTGTGGAAAAGGATCCAAAATGCAGTCTAAGGCTGTGATGCAAGTGACTGTTTATTTACAGAGTGACATAAACAGAAAATGATGAGCAAAAACCTAGACTGGGGGAAACTAATGACAAACCAAAAATACATGACACACACTGAGCACAGACCGACACCCACTATATATACACACACAAGGTAATTAGGAAATGACACACAGGAGGGAAGCATAGCTGATCCTAATTCACATGATGACAGGGAAACGCAAGCTGAACACAGTGATGTCACATATGTATCTACAAAATAAAACAGGAAGTTCCCAGGCAGTTTAACAGAATACAAAATCAGAATGAAACTAGAACATGAGAAAATAATAATAATCATAATAATAATCACAAAACGCTGGGTCCCTGACCCAGGACCATGACAATTAGTATTTCACTGGTGTGACTTCTGAAAGTCACAGCATTTTTCAACAGCAAAGGAAAGGAAATGGAAACATTTGAGGGTATTTTAATTTGTTGATTTTTAAAAATATTACTTAAGAGATTTCCTACTACTAGGATGTAAAATCAAATTACGAGAAAGAGTAGTGATCATGAAGGGAAATTCTGATTGCATTTTATATGTTGTACAGTTCAAATTATATTATAGTTTTAGTTAGCAACCCGTTGTCTTAGAATGGAGTAGTATATGATGAAACCAACACCCCATTATTTAGGCATTAATTTAAGTTTGAGAGACACCAAAATATGATATTTGTATTGGAAACATTCTGGCTGAAGTCCAGTGTATCCAACATGGATCTGATGTTTCACTTCATGATTTCACACTGATTGAATCATTCATATTCTATTCTATTCCAGCTGCTGGAGGAAAACATTGTTAATTTTGTAAAGAATGAGCTGAAGAAGATTCTGAACATTCTGGATCCAGATTACCCAGAATGCTTAGAAAGTCATGGGGAGGATGAAGAGTTGTTGAAGGCTGAGAATGAAAAGCAGATGAACAGCAGCAGAGAAGCATTTGTGAAGCTCACTCTGCACTTCTTGAGGATGATGAAGCAAGCGCAGCTGGCTGATCATCTGGAGAGCAGTAAGAGGGTTACTCTAAATATTTAAAATGGTAGTAGAATAAAATTACTTTTGCAATCTCATATTATATATCTACTTCTGAAAGCAGAACTTGTTGATGTTTTTATTTTAAGGCTATATCCTGTCTGTGTTCTTTAAGAAATTCCCAGCATATGCCGGAATAAACTTAAATGTGCTTTAAAGAAGAAGGTCCAGTGTGTGTTTGAGGGGATCGCTAAAGCAGGAAACCCAACCCTTCTGAATCAGATCTACACAGAGCTCTACATCACAGAGGGAGAGACTGCAGAAGTCAATGAACATGAGGTCAGACAGATTGAAACAGCATTCAGGAAACCAGACAGACCAGAAACATCAATAACACAAGAAGACATCTTTAATGCCTCACCTGGAAGAGATGAACCAATAAGAACAGTGCTGACAAAGGGAGTGGCTGGCATTGGGAAAACAGTCTTAACACAGAAGTTCACTCTGGACTGGGCTGAAGGCAAAGCCAACCAGGACATCCAGTTCATATTTCCATTCACTTTCAGAGAGCTGAATGTGCTGAAAGAGAAAAAGTTCAGCTTGGTGGAACTTGTTCATCACTTCTTTATTGAAACCAAACAAGCAGGAATCTGCAGCTTTGAAGACTTCCAGGTTGTGTTCATCTTTGATGGTCTGGATGAGTGTCGACTTCCTCTGGACTTCCGCAAAACTAGAATCCTAACTGATCCTAAAAAGTCCACCTCAGTGGATGTGCTGTTGATTAACCTCATCAAGGGGAAACTGCTTCCTTCTTCTCACCTCTGGATAACCACACGACCTGCAGCAGCCAGTCAGATCCCTGCTGAGTGTATTGACATGGTGACAGAGGTCAGAGGGTTCACTGACCCACAGAAGGAGAAGTACTTCAGGAAGAGATTCAGTGATAAGAAACTAGCTAGCAAAATAATCTCCCACATCGAGACATCACGAAGCCTCCACATCATGTGCCACATCCCAGTCTTCTGCTGGATTACTGCAACAGTTCTGGAGGATGTTCTAAAAACCATAGAGGGAGGAGAGCTGCCCAAGACCCTGACTGAGATGTACATCCACTTCCTGGTGGTTCAGGCCAAAGTGAAGAAGGTCAAGTATGACGAAGGAGTTGAGACAGATCCACACTGGAGTCCAGAGAGCAGGAAGATGATTGAGTCTCTGGGAAAACTAGCTATTGATCAGCTGCAGAAAGACAACCTGATCTTCTATGAATCAGACCTGACAGAGTGTGGCATCGATATCAGAGCAGCCTCAGTGTACTCAGGAGTGTTCACACAGATCTTTAAAGAGGAGAGAGGACTGTACCAGGACAAGGTGTTCTGCTTCATCCATCTGAGTGTTCAGGAGTTTCTGGCTGCTCTTCATGTCCATCTGACCTTCATCAACTCTGGAGTCAATCTGCTGGAAGAACAACAAAAAAACACCCAGACAGAGAATCACTTCTATCAGTGCGCTGTGAACAAGGCCTTGCAAAGCACTTCAGGACACCTGGATTTATTTCTGCGTTTCCTCCTGGGTCTTTCAGTGCAGAAAAATCAGAATCTCCTACAAGGTCTCCTGAAACAGACAAGAATTAGTCCCCAGACAAATCAGGAAACAATTAATTACATCAAGAAGAAGCTCAGTGAGAGTCTGTCTGCAGAGCAAAAGATTAACGTGTTCCACTGTTTACATGAACTGAATGATCGTTCTCTAGTGGAGGAGATCCAAAGGTCCCTGAATTCAGGAAGTCTCTCTACAAATGAATTGTCTCCTGCTCAATGGTCAGCTCTGGTTTTTATCCTACTGTCATCTGATGACCTGGATGTATTTGACCTGAAGAAATACTCTGCTTCAGAGCAGGCTCTTCTGAGGCTGCTGCCCGTTGTCAAAGCTTCTGAAAAAGCTCTGTAAGTTTTAAACTCTTTTGCTTTAAATACACTGCTATATATTCACTAGCAAAGAAAAAACAATATCTCAAGATTCTTTTGATGTCTCACCAGACTTAGTGGCTGCAACCTCTCAGAGAGAAGCTGTGAAGCTCTTTGCTCAATACTCAGCTCCCAGTCCTCTAGTCTGAGAGATCTGGACCTGAGTAACAATGACTTGAAGGATTCAGGAGTGGAAGTGCTGTGCCGAGGACTGGAATCTCCACATTGTGAACTGGAAACACTCCGGTCAGGGTTCTAAAATGTTTTAATTATGGTGATTTAAAATCTGGTTTGCATTGAGTCAGGCTATGAGGGAATGTGTCTACTGGAATTTATCAAAGTATTTATTATTATTACTTCTGTAAAGTAGAACCTTCAGTGTTTTTTTTAATTTTATTATT